TTCCAGGTTTAGGCAATTAAAGGAAGAGGAAGCAAGACTAAAACGGAAAAGAGAAGAAGCCAAACGAATAGCTGAAGAGGCAGCCGAATCACAGAGAGGTAATAGTAATCTGCTGACAGTAGAAAACGAAGACATGTCTGATTTAGCCGAGCAAGGAGTGAATGGTCATGCTGTATCACATAATGGAGATTCATTGCCTGACGATGACGACTTATCTCATTCTGAAAATCCCGAATGTGTGAATGGTGAAAAAACCACTCTCACAACTAAGGGTGATGATGATCAAAGCTCTAGTGAACATAGCACCCGGACAGAGCAGCATCTTCATGAAACTAGCAAAAAGGTATTTAGACCCTCTTTTTTCAAGTTTTTATTCTAGTTGTCCAGTCTTTAAAGTCTTTGGACTCTACACTCTAGTTATCACACTAGTATGTTTAGTTTTAGGTTCCAGTTACCATATTCCGCATTCTAGGATGAAATCACCTGTTTCTAATCCTGTTAAAGAACACGGGCTTTGGTCATATTACTTAATTGTGTCAAATCTTTAGTCTTAGAGAGTGTTTTGGTAAAAAAAATTCATGTGTGGCTGAAATGGATGAGGATTAATGCATTGGCTAAAATCGATTTGAGCCACAAATGAGTTAAGGACCAACTATTGAAAACAATGTTTTGTTCGAGACTTTACGAACTCGAGTTCTAGTCTTTTACACAACAGCATCTTGCTCCAGGGGGAAGCTGCGGTGGCAGAGATCACTGATAATGAACAGCCCGTCAAAGCCCGCGACGAGTTCTTGTAAAACCATCAATGGGTTCAAGCCGATGGGTTTGATATTTGCACCGGCATTATTCGCCAGGTTTGACATTTAGTTGCAGCTGGTATGAAGAGTTTACACAAGCTAGTAGGGCCCCATGGTGCAATTTTTGAGGCAGATGTGTAAATATTACAGTAATTGTTGTAATAGACGAATGTTCAGTTAGATATGATCATATGAGGCAGGCTACTGGTAATTGTAGTTTCTTGTTCTGATGGGGAATAAACATCCAAAAGCCACATTAGGTGTTGTTGTATGGTTTGATTGAGGGAGAAATATTTTCATGCAATAATGTAACCATTAATATCTATGTTTATATGTAGATATTTCGTAAACATAAAAATATAATATTTCAAAATTAAAATATTAATATTAAAATTTTATTATAACACAATGTATTTTTATTTAAATATTGTGCATAAAGTTTAAAGATTTTGGCCAAAATATTTTCCGGATAGAGGGAGAGTACTATGGATGCCATAATTTATTTATTAATTTTTTTTTTTTGAGAAAAAACATGGTTTAAATAAATGAAAACATTTTATGTTAGCAGGCATATGTATAAACATGTTTATTTGACGAAATGAAAAAGGGTGCATTATAAGTAGTAATTAAGGTACTCCGTATATTTCAAGGTCTTTGAAAGGCTTAAGGTTGAAGTTAAAAATTGTTTGGAATAATTCGAGTGATATTGAGTTGCAGTATCATTTTATGAACTTTAATGAGAACAAACTTTAATGAGAATACCTATGGTGCCTTATTCACAGAATAGATAATTCATATTCCCGATCCTCCACTAAAACGCCTTTGCCTTCTCGCCATGGTAAAAGGTTAATGAATGGAATTTGTTTTGAAATAAAGAAAAAAAAGTTATGCACTAGATACTCTTTACTTTATAAAGTAATTGAGGAAGTAAGACAATTTGTTTTGTTTTGAAAAATAAAACGATTCATTCGAAATGCTGAGAGTATGTAAATGAGACCTACAAAAGAGGAACAAATTAGGGAAAAATACTAGAGTACGAGTTAAATATTTAAAAAAATACTAAAATAAGAGTTTCATGTTTTTATTCATGAGATAGGAGTTAAAATACATATACAATGACCATATATATCACCAAAAAGTATTATGAAATGATCATATATATTACCAAAAACTATTATAAAATGTTCATAAACAGTGTCACATTACCACAATGCAAACTTTTGTTTTAGGAATAAAAACAAGGAGTTTCTTAATTTAGTACTTTTTCTTTTTACTCCTATGTATTTCGAGTTATTTCTTATAAAAATACTTTTTCCGTCCCTTAAAATATTTCACCTCTTACTTTGAATGGATTTTTAAAAATGGATGTTTTTGTGTTGTTTTTTAAAGAATATTTCTTAATGTAATGGGTAAAGTAATACACGATGAGTAGATTATTAGTGCATCATAAGTAGCATAAGAATTAGTAAGAGCAAAAAAATTTAGGAAACATGATGTTTCCATTAATCCACCATTAGCAACTTAACGGCAAACCAAATTTAAAAATTTTAGTTAAGTTGAGCTTATTATACATCACATTAAAAGGTGTTATTATTTTAAAAGACCGAATAAATGTGAGATTATTTTTGACAAATTTTGGTTTTAAATTTTTGTATTTAAATTTTTAAAATGACTTTCTACCTCCATTTATTCTTCTTTTTTTAAAGATTCATGTTATCTTAGAAAAAAGAAAAAATAGATATAAAAAAGAATGAAAATGAGAAAATAACTAAAATCATTCAAAATTAATAAAATAAATAAGGTAATAAAAAAATTAAACTGAAACTGGTAAGAAATAAAATAAAAATATAAGTGTAGCGTTCTAACAATTTACACACTATATATAGTTTTTATATACTCCCTCCGTCCCATTTTATAATGCCTGTTTCAGTTTACGATGTTTGACTGAAATTATTTTCAAACCATTTTATATGACAAATGGTATAGAATTAAAAAAAATTACATATTAAAAAACTACATCAAAAGATCTACAAAACTAGTAGTGACAATAATATTTTATTTTATCAAATTGCTAACGAAAATAGAGAAAGAAAGTGAATGAAGTTTGACCCTGTGAATAGTGAACAGACATTATAATTTGGGACGGAGGGAGTATTACTTATTTTATTGAAAAATGGAAAAAAATTGAGATTATCCTAGATAGATTTTCCTAAAAATAAAAAGTGGTACATTAATACTCTATATAATGCATAAAATGTCAAAACCTACCACTCCATATATTTTTATTTTATTTCTTGCCAATCTCAGTTCAATTTCCATTACTTACCTTATTTATTTTATTAATTTTGTATGATTTTAGTTATTTTTCTCATTTTCGTTAATCTATTTTTTTTATCCAAAGCTAGACTAGTTTTTGAAAAAAGAAAGAGATGGAAAAAAAGGAGTAAAATGAGTTTTTTTAGGACAGATGGAAAAAAAAGAAATGATTTTAGTGATGTGTTCTGTACATACTCGGTATTTCAACAGAATTATGTCAAATCAACAATCGAACGGATTGAATTGATCCAACTGTTTGTCAATAAGTCCGTAATTTGAGGCTTAGGTTCATTTTGTTTTTTTTGTTAAACATTGGCGCAATCATTAGCCATCCCCTAATCTTTAACCACATGGAGCTCTCCTCTAATCACAATGCCCCCCACTATGGGCATTCTCCTACATTCAAATTCCCTAATGAAAAATACGCACTTGGCAAAGAAAAGAAAAGAGTGTTAAGCAGCGCAATACTCGAATTTGATTTTTCACAACTGTGCTAGGAGACAAATATGCTAAGCATAAAGTCTCTGCAAGTACCAGGTGCATGTTCTACTCTTTTTCATCAATCTGCAATCAAAGTTTAATTTATCTGCTCTCAGTGACCGTCTGGCCGGGTTTGAGGAGAGCCGGGGACGGGGCTCATCCCCTTTTTTCCTAATTAAAAGCAACCATGCTCGGGGTTCGCCAAAATGTGTACCCAAGTTGTACTTCAAAGAAATGCACCGACACTTTAACGGTTCACACTAAGACAAAATGTTACTTCACTTGAAAACAATTTACACTAGCACAAAATATCGGTGCATACTTTTGAAGTACAAAATGAGGTACAAGTTTTGGTGTAAAAACACTTAATCCAATAAAAAATCCAACACGTACGAGTACTTTTGTTTTCAAAAAAATAGAAATATATTTTGAGATATCATTTCAGTTAAAGATATTATCAAGCTTAATATTAATTTATTTATATAACTCTTTGTTTCTTTATTTATGTAAATTTCAATTTTAGTTGATTATATGGTCAAAACTTTTTAGTTCAAAGTCAGCTAAATTTACAGGGTGCAATTGACAAATGTCGGGATGGATCCTAGGGGTGTGCATTCAGATATATCAATCAGATCCATTCCGGTTTTTAGGATATCCGAAGTTTTCGGATCGGAAAATATCTCTCTTCCATGTCTGATCCGGAAATCGCTGGATGCCCGAGTTTTGAATATCTGAAATTTTGGATCTTATCTACAGAATATCCAAATAAATATATATTTACTTTTTTGAATTTTTATTTTCCAAAATAATTCAAAAAAAATATTTGGAATATTTTTTTATTTATTAGAATAATGGAGGTCATAAATCACTTGAATTTTAAGTCAAATATATTTTAAATATCATAGTTACCTTGATATTGTTATCATAAATCACAATTTTATAAATGTATGGAAAAAGCATATTCATAGAACTGACAAAAAAGCATAGACAAAAAAGACTAGAGTAAAAAACTTAAATTAGGCTTAGGTATAAAGATTTATGATGATAAAAATGAATGGGGCTTATGTTGTGTGAGCTTTATTTTTTTGAAATATGAATTTCGGATATCCAAAATCTTATTATTTCATTCCATATCCAATCTAGTTTTTTCGAATATCCGATTCAAAAGATCTGAAAGCTAAAATATTGGATCAAGTATCTATTTTTTCGGATCAAATCAACTGGGATCGTGGACGGATTCTTTGGATCGGATATTTCTGAACACCAGTAATGGGTTCAGATCAAGACTGATTAGAGGATTACCATGGAGAGGATGGAGGAAAGGGTTCGAAGGAGTATGAACTACCATTTTTGTGAACGAAGTATCATAAGTGTCCACTGTCATTCGTTGTCGCTAATTTGCTATGTCAACAGAACCACATAAATAATTAACAGCATACCCAGACCCATGATCTGGTCCCACCGACTTTCTTTGCCATTGGGAATCCGGAGGGAAGGAAAGTTTTGAATTTATTGAGGAGAGGTGGGGAGAGGGTGGGCCCTCCCTCCCTCCTTCATTGTCTTTCTTTACTTACACACCACTATTTGTGATCTAATCAAAAATCCTCCACATATAAAATCCCCTTTATCTCCTCCCCCAAATTAAGACTTCACCCTTCCCATCTCCCCTCCTCCCCAAACACAAAATGGCAAAAATGCCCCTCTCACTTCTTCTCCTCCCCACTCTGTTTCTTCCATTCCTCCTGCATTTCACTTTCTCTCTCTCCTCTCCCCCCTTCTCTGATCCTGAAGCCATTGTTCAAGAAGTCAATGAGTATGTCAATACATTTTTGCCTTCATTTACATTTCTCTCCCCGCTCGAACTTCCCAACTTTTAGTGTATGTCGTTTACGGTAAAAGTTGGAAAAACCCAGCGGATCGGAGCAGTTGTAGTTTTTCTTTTTTTTTACTCTCTGTCCGCTGGGTTTGGACAACTTTTACTGAAACTTGCACTAAAAGTTGTCAGAGTAGAGCGGGATGGGGAAAGTTTGGGTTTTTGGTTGAACTGATTTTGGTGGGTAAAAAAATGCAGGAAGATCAACAATGCAAGTGCGAGCAGGAGGAGGAACCTGGGGTTCCTGTCGTGCGGGACGGGGAACCCGATAGACGACTGCTGGCGGTGCGACCCGAACTGGGAGAAGAACCGCCAGCGGCTGGCGGACTGCGCGATCGGGTTCGGGAAGCAGGCGATCGGGGGGAAGGGGGGGAGGACGTACGTGGTGACGGACTCGGGGGACGACGCGGTGTCCCCGAGGCCGGGGACGCTGCGGTACGGGGCGATACAGGAGGAGCCGCTGTGGATCGTGTTCGAGCGGGACATGGTGATCAGGCTGAGGGAGGAGCTGATGGTGAACTCGTTCAAGACGATCGACGGCCGGGGGGCGAGCGTGCACATCGCGAACGGCCCGTGCATCACGATCCAGTACGCGACGAACGTCATCATCCACGGCGTGAACATACACGACTGCAGGCAGGGGGGGAACGCCAACGTGAGGGACTCCCCGGGGCACTATGGGTGGAGGACGGTTTCAGATGGGGATGGGATCTCCATCTTTGGGGGGAGCCATGTCTGGGTTGACCATTGTTCCCTTTCAAACTGTAGGGATGGGCTGATTGATGCCATCCATGGATCCACAGCCATTACCATCTCCAACAATTACATGACCCATCACAACAAGGTCATGCTCTTGGGCCACAGTGATTCCTATACACAAGACAAGAACATGCAAGTCACCATTGCTTTCAACCACTTTGGTGAAGGCCTCGTTCAAAGAATGCCAAGGTAAACTCTTTCCGTCCCATAAAATTCTTCCTCTTTGAACCAGACCCCGCAGGACGGAGGAAACGATGTCGGGGAGGCAAAAACCATTTTCGGAGAGCGAACGAATCATCATATGTGTCTGAAATGGATATGATTCTTTTTAATTGTTTTGTACTGATGGATAGTATTAATAACTCCATGTGGTGAACATGTATGTAGGTGTAGACATGGGTATTTCCATGTGGTGAACAATGACTATACACACTGGGAGATGTATGCAATTGGAGGGAGTGCTGACCCCACAATCAATAGCCAAGGCAACAGATTCTTGGCCCCAGATGACAGATTCAACAAAGAGGTTAGAAAGACACATCACTTTCCCAATCATGTTTACCACAATGTCTTTTCTAGGCATCAAAAATATATACTACTTCCGTCCTAAAATTATCGTCTCAAAAAAATTTATCAAAAATTATATTATACCCATTTTGTGTCTATGTAAGTGCGATTATATTGACACAAAATGTCAGTGTAAAACTTTGCGATCGTACTAATATTTTGTGTCAATGTAAGCTAAGTGTATACTTTTGGGACACATTTTGGGGTACACCTAGCATAGTTGAACAACGTAACGTCCAAAATCTCATCTTTAAAAATAATTGTGTGTGCTTGATCATATTAAGGTGACAAAACACGAGGATGCGCCCGAGAGCGAATGGAAGAACTGGAACTGGAGAAGCGACGGAGATTTGATGATGAACGGGGCTTTCTTTACGAGTTCGGGCGCCGGGGCATCGTCCCGCTATGCCAAGGCATCAAGCCTGAGCGCCCGGCCTTCTTCACTCATCACCTCCCTCACCCAATATTCTGGTGTACTTTCTTGCAAGAAGGGCCGTAAATGTTAACTAGCTTGAGGGTCTCTCAGAATCGGCGGAACATTTTAGCGGAGACGGGTAGACTAAAAAGTCAAGTGTTACTATAGAACAAAATATTAAGCTTAGATCAAGAAAGATATTGAACCATATATTGGTTACTATATGTATGCTAGGTGTTTTATTTCTAGTCCTATATGTATGACAATGTTAAATGGCTTTTTTTCGGTTCCGTATGTTTGGGTTCAGGTCGAGAAATATTTGTTTCCTATCAATGTTCGAATTCGGGTCGACCCAATGGATTTGAGGCGTTTATTTTTGAAATATTTAAATGTATAAATATTAGCAGCACTTGTGTGTTATCCCAAAAATGTACTCCGTAGTCCGTATTAAAGCTAAGGTATCATAAAGTTACTATTATGGATTATGCTACGTGTACCTCAAGGTTTGTACCCCAATTTGTACCCCGTAGTTTTGCACCAACACTTTGTGTTGGTGTAAAACTAATTTTTGTTAAACGCACCAACATTTGTGTCCGTGTGAATATTTATTAACGCACCAACACTTGTGTCGGTGTAAACCATCGAAATGTTTGTGCAAGCCTGTGGTGTACAAATGGGGTATATTTTTTGGTGTAAGTGTAGCATGGTCCTACTATTATATATGTTCTCTTTAGCTCTACTTTCCCACATCACATCTCATATTACTTTTTACTTTTTAATCACTATTAATGATTTGAAACATCTCTTTTTTTTAAAAAAACTCTAAGGGTAAAATTGGAAAGTCAAACACCAAAAAATATTTCCCTTAAAACACCAAAAAGTCAAATCCAGAAATGTTTTCTGGGACGGAGGGAGTTTTTTTTTCAATATAGTACCTAAAACATTTTATTTTATAAATAGTACTGAATAATGTCCAGTGGTGAGAACAATCTCTAGTAGCGGCATACATTCACTTTGAACAATGTCCACTGACGGTGAACAACATGCAGTGGATATTAAATAGTGGTATTACATTAGAAAATTAAAACATATGATACTACACATAGTGGGAAACGTAGTATGTTTTAGTATTATATAAGTAAATTTTTCTTAAATAAAACGATCAAAAAAGATGTGAGTTTGTGTCTCGTAATTTCCTCCCCGTATAGTAATATATTGTGGGAGGGAGTGAGTTTATTTTGGATAACCCAATGAAATGGAGCTACTTTTCTCCATTCACACATACTCCATGTATATATCACCTCACTCTTAATAGTGATATCAATGTTTGTAGCTTGGGTTCCATGCATCTCTCCATAATTCACGTCTATCATTGCTCCACTCATATGAGCAATTATGGAATGTTTCTCATAATTTTTTTAAAAAATGTGACATTTATATTTATGGTAACGCATTTATCAATTATTATTACTATTATTGTTATTATTATTATTAGAATATGGATATATTGGATAATATTGAAGAGAAAAAGAAGTACGTAGGCCAACAAAAATGGGGGCAGGGCACATGAGGGACTGCAACATATCTATGGTACAACGTGTGTGGTCCATGCATGTCACGCCATTTATTATTCAAAAGCAACTAATATTTGTCTAGTTTTGATTTTTTCGATCAACTTTTTCAACATATAACCTATAATTAAATAAAATATATGTTGTATATTGATTAGATAAAGTAAAATTTTGAAAATATTTGATATAACAAATCCAGTAAAACTATTGTTGTAGTAATATCTAATATCATTTTTATTTAATTTGATGTTAAAGTTTACTAAATTTGACCAAAAAAAAGTCAAATGAACAAATATTCAGAGACGGAAGAATATCAAGGATGAGTCTCATTCTGTGGACTCCCAGACTCAGCTAAACGGTGGCCATTGAGAGAAGTGAGTTGGATTTTAATCGTAGATTAATGGTAAAGAGAGCGCGCACCTAATACGTGTAGAGACTTTATGTTTAAATAGTTTTCTCCCAGCGCAGTTATTAAGAATCGAATTTTGTTCGTTTGAAAAAAAAAGGAAGAAGGGAGGAAATGGATGTTTCCACTTTATTGTGTATCATCTCAAATGAGAGCCCCACAAATTGGTTAACCGTCACGTGGAAGGTGGGACCATTGCAGCAGATTAATTGGACTATATGAGGGGAATATATAGTTAAAAATAGAACAAGGAATACTACGTGTACATCGCCAATCACGCCACGATTTATTATACCATCATAGTACACTTACACCAAAAAATGTACCTCATTTGTACACCACAGTTATGCACAAACATTTTGATGGTTTACACTAACACTACACAAGTGTTTGTGCGTTAACAAAAATTTACACGAACACAAAGTGTTGGTGCGTTAACAAAAATTAGTTTTACACCAACACAAAATGTTGGTGCAACCCTGCGGGGTACAAAGTAGGGTACAAAAACTTGGGATACAAATAGCTTAATCTTTTATTATATGCCTCAGGCGCTTAGCATTAAAAAAAATTGAGTTATTTTTATTCCAAAAATTGTACCTCAAATTGTATACCATCAGTGTGCTTTCTAATTCGGTATCAGTGTAATGGATCACACAAGTACAAAATACTAGGCGGAACCAAAAACTCTCAAGGCAATTTCTCTCTCTAGAAGTGAGAAATGGAGAATCGAAGGCCGATAGATAATCTGATTTTCATAGAGGCGGGGTGACGCTTAAAGAATAAAAAAGGGGCACAATGATGATGTGACGTGGCGGCCTGGGAAGGCAGGACGACATTGTGCTTGCCGCCCATCTAGGGAAGAGAAACATAACAGTACACACAGGCAGGTTGTCTGCGCGTGTAGATACGCGCTCGTCCGCATGGACAACATTCCACTCTCTCTCTTGCTCCTCCAACGGTTAGAAAGCTCGAAGAGTGGATGACTTATAATGGAGGGTAACTCCACATCATCAAAAAGAGCACACATAAGGCTCACTTTGGAATCTACAAACCACATCTTGAGGAAACACTTCATCCGATGGACGATCAGTGGGCTGAGCCCATCTACTTGGCTCATCCATGGCTGAGCCTGTCTGCTCGGCTCATCCATGACCAAGCCCATCCGCTCGGCTTATCGATGACCAAGTTCGTCCACTCGACTGTCTAGGGTTGAGCTCGTCATATTATAGCGCGTGTAGATATGGCTCACTCACTGTGACAACATTCCACTCTCGCTTGCCGTCCTCCAGTGGTCAGAAAGCTAAGAGAGTGGGGGGGCTATGATGGAGGGTAAGTCAACGTCATCAAGGAGAGCACACATAAGGCCCATATTGGACTCCAAAAGTCATGCCTTGAGGAAACACTTTGTCCGTTGGGCAGTCAGTGGCCTGAGCCCGTCTGCTCAACTCATCCATGATCAAGATCGTTCGTTTGGCTGGTGCATCCATGATTGAGTCAGTCCACTCGACTGGCTAGGGTCGAGATCGTCGAACTCAGTGCACCCCGTCCCACTCGTGAACAACGACAAGAAATCCTATGGAGATAGAGTCTTCGTAGTCGACAAAAAGATTATGCAGCCCACGCAGATCGTTGTCACCACACTGTGGATATTTTTCGGCATGGGTTCACTGAATGGAAATGTACCCTTGTCAAATAAGGTTCCATACGCTAACGACAATAGCTAGGCAAAACAGAGTGTTAATCACAGTCAACATGTGATTAGTTAGTAGTATAAATATCCTTACCCCCTCATTTGTGAAAGGACCCAAACCTAAGCGAATAATGCTCTTATACTGCAGTCTCTCGCTCTCTATTCTATTCTTACTCACTCTCTTTTTTTGCTCATCCATACCCGACCCCTCCATCAACCTAAATCGGTGGTTTCTGACCATCTCACGCATTTCTCTCGAGTTTCACATTTTTACCCCATCCATAAATGTGAAGTGGTTAGTATTGCGTAATTTTTTCTCTGTCTCACAAAAGATAAAATCACTTTTACTTTTCACTCTTCTCATATATAACTTTCATTGTTTAATAAAAAGTACTCCCTTCGTTCCTAAATAATTTACACATTTTTGTGTTCAAAAATCATGAGAACTTTTGTTTATTTGTATGTTTTCATTGACTCTTTGATAAAATAAAATATTCTTTTGACCTATAATTTTGAAGAAATCACCCTAAATAGGAGTAAAACATAGAAAAAATATCAAAACATGAGTTCCATGTTTCTATCCCCTAAATAGGAGTTCACAATGTGGTAATTGACATTATACATGAGTATTTTACTATACTTTTTGGTAAAAATATATGGTCATGATTGGTAATGTAAATGTATTTTAACTCTTATTTCGAAAATAAAAATATGGAACTCCTATTTTGATATATTTTCAATGTTTTACTTCTATTTTAGTATTTTTTTCTAATTTTGTAAAACTTTTGATGTACTTTTAAAATATGTGAATTTTATTTTTTATTTATATATCAATTTTTAAATAAAATGAATTGAAAAAAATTTGGGACTTTATTTTGTTTTGCGTAATAGATAAATGATTTAGAGACGTAGGGAATAGATTTTATTACCTCTTTTAACTCTTCCACAACTTATCACATCATATATACGGAGTATTCATTATTAATCCACTCATCACATTGTAATTTTGTAATTACATCAAAAGAAAAATTTAGAAAATTAACTATAAAATATACATTCTTTATTTATTCCAAAAATTTAAAAAATAGAACATTTTTTTTCGAAACGAACTTCAATAATTTCAATTTGTGGAAAAGGGAGCAAATTAAAAGGCGCCCATGGGATTCGAACCCACGCGCCATAGTGCGATCATTGACTTGACAACATGAATGATAATAGATTGCATGTAGACCTGACAATCAGATCAATCGATTCGGTTCTGGTTAAGATTTTTTTGATTCGTATCTTTTTTGGATATATGTTATAATTGGTTCGGTTCGGTTTTGTGTTAAATTGGACTGATTTTTTAGGTCGGTTTCAATTTAGATTTATATCGGTTTGGGTTTATATTGGTTTGGATATGTACCGCTTCGAGTTTATATCAGTTCGAATTTATACCAGTTTCAGATAGATCCCTTGGTATCAGAGTTCCTAATGTTAGCCTTGTGTGTAATCTCTCCTCCCTATGTGTAAAGGAAGAGTATAGATACAAGTGTCAGCAATAATGAGCTAGTATATCTATTAATGTGTGTTACGATGTCACTATAAATTATATATATACACACACACACACTCGATACAAATAGACAACAATTTTAGTTTAAGTGATAAAATACGAAGTAAAAGATTTATACATCAAATTAGTTGTACCTATACTTTATATATGTTTTTATTAGAAAGACATTAACCAATGAGCTATTAGAATTGTCTAAATTTGAGTTTAATTTGTCTTGAACTTGATCAATATCATCTCTAATCGG